CCACTGCAATTTGTGAAGTGCTTTCCTCCGTGGTGAAACGATCAGCGCTGCACCACGGAGGAAAGCGGCAGAAAGTCGCCTGGAGTTAAAGAGAGCGGGGCTGCGTTGCGTGCATGGCTTCCTTCTGCAGGTAATGGGGAGACGCGCTCTGGCGGCGGTCTCGTTCAGGATCCGAAAATACAATTATAATATTTTGCACACTTATTCCACTTATTCCTAGTGTGCCACTGGTTACGATGTTGCGTGCCAATGGTGGCACGTGTACCAGGGGTTGCCAACCCCTGATCTAGACAAATGGTTCTCTCCTACCCAAAAGCTGATATATTTAATGTCATCAACTCAGCCCACCAATACTAATGTGAATTTATATTCCTCCCTAAAGGAACATCCTTTTACCTCTCCCCTTGCTCCATCCACAGGGAGGTCAGAGGTCAGTGTCAGCCACACAGCAGCCCCGGAGCTGGCGGGACTTCAGCAGGAGGGCTGCTTACCCTAACCCTAACCTGCTGGGGCTTGAACCCAGCTTCTCTATTTGAACGATTGTCTCTGTAGCCACTAAGAAACTCATTGGCCTCTGGAAATGTTCACTCCCAGGAAAAATAGTGTGATAGAGTGTACTTGAGTGTTTAAACTTGAAACTAATCATGCCCTGTGGTATTACATTAACCTTTGCCTGATGAGTTCTTCATCTCTCAGTCCGGTCCCTCCGGCCACCTTCGATCCAATCACATCACTACTCCAGATTCTACAATTGCACCACAGCAGACAGACCCGCTGTGTTGCACATTAATCTGTGCACGTTTTCTCCCACCTCCCATCCCGCTGCAGCACTGGCCATTTGACAGTTCCTGCCCTGGCTGTTTGCATTATATGTTATATTGTCTCGGGGCCTCCATGACAATGTGAACACGGGTAATTACCGATTCTTGTTTCAGTGCAGAATCTTTGAGAACTGCATAAATATTACACCACCTAGAGAGAGTGAATATGTGTGACAGACAGGAAGTTACAGACTTTGTTTTAACTCTACTCACCAACTGAAAACCTGCCTCTGTCTTTAGAAGATATAATAATAACTTACCAATAATTAAAGTGTTTTTATTCAAAATATTCCAATCCACCTACATAATATATACATATGAGTCTTACTGCAGTCGTGGCACAGCTTCAGTTCGGTCCATCTGCTCAACATGTCTGCATCTCAGCTATGATAGTCCATGGTTCGTTCATGTGCAATGAATCCGTAATTACAATATTTCCCTTTGGGCCAGTGCTTCCTTCATATTTTCACTTCAAGGCATCCCTGGCCCATATGTTTAGTGGTGTGGAGAGCTTCTTTACCTTCTTGAAATTCAATCCAACTGTTGTGAAAGCCCCACTGTTTTAATGTATTTTTTACTCAGATCTTGTATCTGTTTCATTGTAGATTATTAATTTATTGTGTCTACACTTGTCTACCTTAGTTTGCAAGTTTTAGTTTTAATTGGAGCGTTTTAGATCCCTAGAGATTGAAGCACATACATAAGTAGGTGAATTGAAAACATGAATATGGTCGTGTTCAAATTTAAGAAAGAGTAAATATTTTTGTCTCGAAGCACACGCCTCCTCACCAAAGGCAGGGTGAGGGTTCTAGCCATCAGTTGAAATCCAACCCAAGATTGACTCGTTTGGGATCGTTGGGGGATTATGGAAGGAATTACTTCTCATTCAGATCTTTTCAAAGCTTCCTTTAAGATGCATGCAAATGATTTGGCACCTGGTCGATACAGACAGAGGGTGAAAAGAGGTGCTGCAACACAGGCAGTATGAGAAAAATAAATAACTTTTTGAACATTAAAGCGTGTAAACATGTCACAGTAGAGGTACAAAATCCAAATAATTGTCCCTGCCCCTTTTCCAACTTCCGGTTCAACAACGTATGTCTTAATTTTTCCAGTTGAGCACTAGCAGCATGGTAAACAGTTATTTTTATTTGAGATAATTTACAGCTACACTGAAGGGATCCGTTGATATTACAGTACCACATCCATCCTCTGTTAGTGACTGTCTGGATGACCTATGACAATCGCCAATAATTGTCTAAATATGACTGCTATAACTTAACAAAAGTATATTCAAAAGCTTAATCACTGTTTATTTGGAATATAAAGGTTGACAAGCCTTTAAGGAAAATATGATTATTTTTCATGGTGAGTTGCCAACAGAACCATATGGTTCTACAGATGTAGCCTATCATTTTGGGCGTTCCTTCTTTGGTCGGGCTGTAGCAGGTAAGATGACGGCACTTTCCAAAAGAAAAACCCCCAGGATGACATAGTGAATATGTGTCAGACTTGTTATGCCCCCTTGATACATTATATGGAAACGAGCTGCATTATATGGAAACTAGCTGCAATGGCTGATCGATCCACCAGAGCAGTGATGGAAGCTGCCACATTGAAACTCATATCAAATATGATATATACAGCTGATTAGAAGGTGTTTGCTTCTAACACAGACACAGAACAGTTTGTTGTTTTGATGCATAAAATAGCAAGAAAACATGCCTCTGGTTAATAATTATATAACATTCTCTCCATAAAATCTGGTGTGTTAAAGGCAACACGTGAGGGAAATAATTAATATACCAGAAATAACTGTTGATGCTGTGGCTTTAACTGAAAAACTGACGGCATAATAAAATGTACTGTATGGCCCGGGACAAACATATTTATATATTTTTTAAACAAGATTAAATAATAGGCTGTAATGTTCTTTTTTTCCAAAATACAACATTTAGTATAATTCATTATCAATAGCAAATGGTGTAAACATAACTCTAACAAAAGACTATATAAATAAATGCATTTAGGAGTAAAATTGTAAAAGTAATGTGTTACTTATCCCTCAAAGGTTTTATTGTCATAACATATACAAAACTATGGTTTAATTAAGTAATGTATGAATAACTTAGACTGCAGGTTCCTCAACAGTGCAATTCACAATGTAATGCAGCCTGTCAGGATCCTCTCTATGGTGCACCTGTAGAAGTTGCACAGTATCCTGTAGTCCATGTTGAACCTCCTCAGCCTGCGGAGGAAGAAGAGCCTCTGTCGAGCTGTTTTGGTGATGGTGGTGGTGTGAAGAGTCCATGTCAGGTCCTCAGTGATGAGTCCATGTCAGGTCCTCAGTGACGTGGACACTGAGGAACCTGAAGCTGCTGACTCTCTCCACCGTAGTCCCATTGATGATCTCTCTGCTGCTTCCTGTAATCCACAATCAGCTCCTAGGTTTTGCTGACGTTGAGATGGAGGTTGTTATCCTGGCACCAAGATGCCAGGGTTCTGACCTCCTCTTTGTACGCCATCCGTGTCATCAACAAACTTCACGATGGTGTTGGAGCTGTGTGTGGCCACGCAGTTGTATGTGAACAGTAGATGAGAGGGCTAAGCATACAGTCCTGAGGGGCTCCACCAAGGGCTAAACAAAGACCAAAGTTTACCCAGTTAGCTGTTTATGTGTATTTGTAAAGGAAGCGCCCTCATGGTGTAGATTACCAGACATTGGGATTAGATAGGTTTCTGGCTGGTATTGGGTAGGTGGTGGGACATCTAGTTGGCTACATCTGTACTACATGTGGCCTCATCTCTGCTTGCCATGGTTGGACCATGCCAACTCTCTTGTGGTTCAATCCCCTATGTGTTGTAGAATCTGGCCAGTCTGTACCACTGTGAGTCAAAGGAGAGTCAAACCAGCACGATGTAAAGAGTGGGAAACACAACCCTGTGGCCTGTATGGGCTTTTTTTGACACTGTTTCTTCAAGGGATATGCTCATTATTTCAAAAACCCTGCTGTCTCCTGGTACGGCCAGTCACTTTCAATTCAAACCAAACTGCCAAAGAGCACAGTTACTTAATTGTGGCTGGACTCAGCTAGCAAAAAGTATATTCACTACCCCCTTCAATCTTCTGTTTTGGTCATCAAATGCTGACTTGCTCCTTTCATTCCCTTTTTTTGGTTTATTTGTTTAAAAATAATCCAGATGTTCCCACACTTTTGTTCAGTCTTCACTCTGATAATTTCCTGTGTGGATTTGTTTACAGGTCTGTCTTACCATTCAACCCAAAAATGTATTTGTCTAAGTTCACTCTCCTAACACTAATTTTCTCTGATCCTGTCCCTATGGCAATTTCCTCCGAAGTTCAAGTTGTGAATACTCGATTTATAGCCGCTGACTTCACAAGACACTGGCTTTTAAAATAATGCTTAAATAATTTCAGAGATAGTAAACACTTTTCTGTTTACTATCTCTGAAATTATGTATGCCTCTTGTCATGTGAAATTGTGATTTATCTTGCATTCAATTTCTAAGATGTACGTGGAATTGAAACTGATATTTACTTACTTGATAATCAACAAAAAACAAAAATTAGCTTATCTTAACAATACTTTTGAGGAGACTTTTTCGCAAGCTGTGATTCTACTGGACCATCTCTGTGATGACGACACAATTGCTATGTCAGCGCAGTTAGTATGATCCTGGATATCTCTTGGTGTGGCTAAATCTGACCTTAATTTAGGGTTAGAGTTCATAACACAAACATCAGATCACCCACTTTCCCCCACCTCCTCTTTTCCTCGCAGGCTTTTAGAGGAGTATAACCTCGCCATAAGGAGAGTATTTTTTCCAGCTGTCACCAATATTTTCTACACATGCCTCTTTGCTCCCTCTGGCCTCCTTTTTAATCTGCTCTAAACTGCTCTCCTCCTCGTTTCTCTTCAACCGTGCTATTCCTTTTCACTTATCTTCTTTATGCAGTTTTTTGTGGAGTGAAGGAGTGAGACATGGACCTCCACCTGTCTCTAAGATTTACACATTTTTCTCCCAGTTCCTTTCCTCTCATGTTTATTTTTTGAAGTACTAATCAAGTTTTTTATTTCTCCTTGTTTCTTAAAAGTTTGGAAAATGTGTTAATTGATGTCCCTGCTGACTTTGTCTTCTCTTTATGTGTTTGTCCAGAGTTTTGAGGGAGCACTTAGGAGAGAAGGAGGTGCAGCTCTCCTTAACCTTCGATGCTGTGGATGAGGCAGACCTGGCCAACTACACCTGTTATGTGGAGAACCACATAGGGAGGCGCAGCGGGAGTGCTATACTGCAGAAGAAAGGTAGATCACTTTTTCTTTCTCTTTACTTCCAACAATTTTTGAAGCAGAATCAGGGACTCCAATGGAGAGAAAATCAGCCGTCGTCAGATTAATGTTGATTTTTCAAACAATACATCTAATTGAGTGAAAGATCAATGACAGCTTGCAAGTTAATTGCTCATCTAAATAAAGAACAGCAGCATATGTATTTGTATCTGCACTTGTATGTTAACCAACATTATCATCACCAAAATCTACTTTCTAGTGCTAAAGTAAATCAACAAGGACTGGGAATGTTAAATGGGAAAAAGTTAGCAGCTAGCACCAGTGCTAGCTAGCTAGCATTGATAGCAGTGAATTGATCTATTTCAAAAACAAAACATACTCTCCACAAACAGCCCACTAATTTGTGTCTTTTAGTATGTATAGTAATGCTTATACATAGTATATCATGTGAGAGATAGGGTAGTTTTCTCATTGACTTCTATACAGTCAGACTTATTTTTGCAACCACTGTAGTCGCCCCCCTGCTGGTCATTAGAAGTAATGCAGGTTTAAGACAATTACACATTAGCCTCACTCACAGAACAGTGAAAATAGAAAGTGTAACAACTGAAAATGGGGATGAAAGAGGATACTACATCTGCATTAATGTGCATATCCATCTATTGGAAATAAGGTCAATAAGTAAATTGCCCAATCATTTTATTTTCCTAAACTATTCCCCTAAGCAGGGTAAACATTAACTAAGTGGAAGCATATTTCTAATTATAGATAATTAACTGTCAGTAAGTAAGAAGTAAAGTTCTGTATTGAAAGCTTTCATGGTGTGTTTTCCCCAAAGCAGTGCTTCATTTTGGAACCTGACAAGCTAAATATAAATCTATGTCTGCTCTCCGACATATTCAATTTCTCTTTATGATTCTGTTATAAAGGAAAACCCCGCCAGCACAGGAACTGATGTTACTTTTATGGCCCGGTAAATATTTGTGGATGTGAATGGCCATCATGAAAAGTGCGAGAAATAAAAGCTCTTCCAAAGATTATTTTTAACCATTTTGTTAGCTCATCCCAAACAGCCAAAAAAAAATGATATCAAATATATTGACTCTCAGACAGACCAAGAGGTCCAAAAGAAAAGATCCCACTTTAGAAGATGATCGACAGGAGATCTCCAGAAAGACTGGTAAAAAGAGCAGCACAGATGGAGACAAAATATAGAACAGGTTCTCTTAGTTATACTGTAAATATTCAGCTGACAAATGCATGAGGGCACAGCTCCCTTTGTAAAACATTTGCAGCAGTCCTGCAGTATCTTGTTATCCATCTGATAATGCAGAGAGAACGGGCCGGTTTGAGTCAGAGGCCATGACACGGAGAAACACAAAAATAAACATTGCCAGAGGAGGAGATTAATTGTGTTACCTCGAATTTTGGTGGAAAAGAGGGCCGCGTGAATGCCTGCTATATAAAATAAATGTACATGATGCAGAGGATCAGGGACAGGGGGGAATGTGGAAAGAGATAAACAGGTGGCGGGAGACAGAATTAGGAAAGTGAATGGAGAACAAGGTAATAATAGATGCTGACAGAGAGATAAAGACAGGGGTTGTAGTCGAATTTTCCAAAAATCAGCTCCTATCGTCTTTTCCTATCCACTATTCCTTGACCTCTGTATACAACGTCACAGGGTTAAGGAATAGTGGATAGGAGAATTCAATAAGACTTAGGAAAAGAGACTGTGGTGCTTTGAGAATCCGACTGCACTTACACTATCGACGTATTTATGATGCGCCAGCGGACGTCATAAATGTGCGTCTGCTGTGAAGAAACTACAGTTTTCTACATTACTATAGTACTACTCTAAGCGCATCTAGAGACTCTCCACCGTGCTCTTATGGTGTCGTTGTATGCTTTATGAACATGGACAACAGAGAAATATATTCTTCATGACCAAGGTTAGAATTTAAAAATAAAAATAAAGTGAAACTTATGCTTGTCACCCTCGTCCTCCGGTCCACACGTATTAATCCACATGAATCCAAACACGTATGATTGTATGAAAAGATTTAAAAATAAATACAAATGTATTTATTATAAACTTGTTAGGCCATCATTCAAACGTGTTATTAAATGTTTAAGAAACCCCACACAACTCAGTAAACACTGTCAATATTGACTTTATTTGATAATTTCAGTAAAAAAGTAACGTTCATATTTCTCCTTTAGATTATTGTAGTGATGAACGTCAAAACAAAGCACTTTGGCAAGTTACCACATAAGTTGTTAAATGCTTAATAACCGTAATGTACTGGATTAGTACAGAAATGTGTATTTGTGTGTGTTTATGTTTGTGTGATCAGACACATGTATACAGAAACCTTAGTTCAACTTGAAAAGGGACTCAAAACGACTACAAATAGACATAAAAAAACTTAAAAGTGACGTAAAGCATTTTCGAAGAGACTCAATAAGACCAAAGCGAGACTCAAAACAACCACAAACGGACTCAAAATTACCCAAAAGAGACAAAAAAACATTTAAGTGACTAAAAGCTACTTCAAAGAGACTCCAAAAGAACACAGGGAGACACAAACCAACTACAAAGAGACAGCAAGTGACTACAAAGACACACATAATTAAAACTGCTGTCACAGACGTGCACACAGTTGTGGGCGGGCCTTCGCGTCCGAGCGCCTGTAGGGGAGGGTCGCCGGTCGTCCCGGTGTCAAGCAGACGCACGCGAGTCCTCCGAAATGAGCCGTTCGTAATTTCCCAAATGTTCGCGTCCCGGACTCCTCGGTCCTCCGGCAGCGACCCGGAAACGTATGTGGGCACGCCGCCTCAAAGGAAAACAAATTTCTGTAAAGGCTCGTCGACGATCGATTATCGCGGAGGCTGTCTGGAGGAGCAGTAACCGTGGCGTGTGGTGCAGTGGGTTGTGCATACTTTCTGCCCTTGACCGTTTGTTTACTCAATAAACGCATCTCCTCTGGATATTAGGCTATGTATGTTTTTAATACAACTGCTTTAATTGTGAGCCGACATTTACAGTGAGAAGAGCTGCTGAGGCCAGTGCAGAAAGCAGAACAGTGTGTATAATATATATCTCTCAATAATATAAGTAACAGGCCTACATTACACACTTTATTTGTATGCTTTAGTAGATATCTACAAATAAACAGTTGATATGTTTCATGAAAGCAAATAGTGCTTCACATCATAACATATACATGGGCCGTAGCCTGATATATATTATATGCTTTAAGAGCTGTATGTGTGTGTTATGGAGTGTATATGTGTCTGTTGTAATTGCATGTGCCATCTGCTGGACTAACACTCAACATCATTGCCAGCAGTGTGTGTGTGTGTGTGTGTGTGTGTGTGTGTGTGTGTGTGTGTGTGTGTGTGTGTGTGTGTGTGTGTGTGTGTGTGTGTGTGTGTGTGTGTGTGTGTGTGTGTGTGTGTGTGTGTGTGTGTGTGTGTGTGTGTGTGTGTGTGTGTGTGTGTGTGTGTGTGTGTGTGTGTGGTGTGTGTGTGTGTGTGTGTGTGTGTGTGTGTGTGTGTGTGTGTGTGTGTGTGTGTGTGTGTGTGTGTGTGTGTGTGTGTGTGTGTGTGACAGATAATGTGGAATGCAGAGTAGCTTATCTGACATCTAAATGTTGGAAAATTGTACATTCTAGCCTGTGAGCTCCCCGTTCGAGCGACTGACTATTCCTTTGCAATGTAGCATCGCATTGGATATGGGCTGAACTTGTCCTGGAATGGAAATGTTCCGGCCATTTCCCCAGGAGGCCTTAGCAAAAATGTGCAGAACAGGCATGGAAACTGCACATTTTTCAAAATGGCCGACTTTCTGAGGGCCGGGCCAACTGGAAAGCAAATTGAAAGATGTCCGCAATCATAAGAGCAATGTGTATACAACGTCTCGTGCATATTGGAACAACCATATGCGAGTAGTTTGGAGTAATTTGCGACATGTAAATCGTCAAAAATGGTATATTCTCTGTTAGCTTACGTCCGCCCCCATTGAGCTAGCAACTATTTTATTCGCAATTTAGCAGGATATTGGATATTGGCTGAACTGGTCCTGGACTGGAATTTTTACGATCTATTCCCTAGGAGATGTTTGCGAAAAAGCGCTTGAAATGCATGAATAACGCCGATTTTTCAGGGCTAATGGAAGCCATTTTGAAATATGCCCCCAATTCCATGAGGAATGTCTGTGGCAAGATTCGGGTAGTTTGGAGAAACTATATGTGACTATCGCACAATAGGGGCATGCTACTGATTTGGTGTACAAAAACATACGATTTGTTTGTACAGTCTGGAAAAGGTTGTGGGCTGTGACGTGTGTTCCAAGTTTTGCGTCAAATTCATTTTAGCAATTTTGTGACATTTAAATCGTCAAAAATGGCACATTCTCCGTTAGCTTACAAGCTCCCCGTTTGAGCAGGCGACTATTCATTCACAATTTAGCATCACATTGGATATGGGTAGATCTTGTCCTGGTTTGGAATTTTTCCGATCATTTCCCTAGGAGAAGTATGTGAAAATGCGCTTGAAACTTCATGGGGGGCGGGGATAACGGAAGCCATTTTGAAATATGTCCGCAATTCCATGAGGAATGTCTGTGCCAAGTTTCGGGTAGTTCGGAGAAACTATATGTGACTACCGCACAATAGGGGGCGCTACTGAGCCGTATTTGCAAAAACGTAAAAAAAAAAGTGTTCAGTCTGGAAAAGGTTGTGGGTTGTCACGTGTTCTGATTTTAAAGGCCGTAACTCCTTTTAACATAAAGTTATGTGTCCGTATGTGTTTTTGTTTGTTTGTATTTATTTATAGAAGGACCATGCATACAAAAACATTAATCTCAGCAAAGACCCTTCGATTTCGAGAAAAAACTGAATAGGACACGCCCACATCCATCATTGGTTGCGACACTTTAAATCTCTGTTAATACTCATCCTGCCAGTATATCTATGACAAAATATATTTATTTCGTCCATCCGTTCTTGAGG